CATTGGAAAGAGTGGAATGATACTATGCTTGAGAACAGATTACTCAATCCCGGATAGCGGCGCAGAGAAGCCGACCACAAAAGTTGATAGTGGGATAGCGTATAGCGGGATGGCCAACTATTTAATCATTTTTTGGATAAATTACATGAATAATAATTATAAACATATGAAGTGCAGAGGGAAGAACAAAGTGCATAGAGAGGTGAGGGAGGAACTTGTGATTTTTCTTTGGAACAGATGAAGTGCAGATACATCAGTGAAGGAAAGCTAGGGTTGAGTCTCAACTCAAATTTGATTGAAAAATCCAAAATTACCTTTAAAACATTATAAATTTAAGGGGTAATTTTGGTTTTTCAGAGGGGAAAAGGATAGCGGAACAGAAACAGCTCCGGGCTGCTAAGGCTCTTCCCATAGCAACTGGCCTCAGCTCCGCTATAGCGAGATAGCACCGCTATTGGCTGCTATTGACTAACTGCTTGAGAAGCAGTGTAGAATAAATAAATGCTGGTTAATATTTATGGAGCACATGCAGTGATGGAGATTGGTTATGGGATGATTTAACTCTATGCTGCAGGTTTGGAATGCAAGCACCATTGTTTTATCTGGTAGCCTTTACTTGTTTCCCTTGAACTACTTTATTGAGTTACAAGGAGTGTTTAGATTGAAAAATGACAGATGCTAGTTATTTTCTTGAGTTGAAATTGATGGCGACTTTGAATTGAGAAATGGATTAACTAGTTTAAAATAGATGATGCAAATTTGGAACCACCAAATTTTTTATTATTATTTAATTGATGAGTTTTTTACAAGAAAACCTCACTTATTGCCACTGCATTCCAACAATTTAGTTTGGTTTTTCAGGATATATCTTAGGAAAAAGTTGAGCAAGAGATTTATGTCAGTATACCGAGTAAGATTTGACAGGGTTGATACACTTAATTTCTAAATCTGAAGTTATTCATCAAGCCTCAGTTTACTCGACTAAAATTTAATATCTCACACTGTTTCCGTGTTTTTGTTTTATAATTAGTTTTGTTTTTTGAATAACTTTGTTTTATATTTAGTTGTTCTATGAATTACATTACAATCTATGGGGAGGAAGTGGTACTTTACTCCACATCTTTGTTCTATATTTAGTTATTATTCTAAGTTATTATATGAACTACATTACAATCAACAGGAGGAAGTATTGCTGTACTTTGTTTTATATTTAAGTTTTTATTCTACAAATTACATTACAAACAATGGGAAGGAAGTAGTGCTGTACTGTAGTAGAATAGAAGTGAGAAGGCAGAAACAAATTATACTTAATATATTTTCTATATGTAGATCTACAAACTTAGACTCATGGACTCCTGAGCAACTTAAAATGATGAGCTTTGGCGGAAACGGTAGGGCAAATGTTTTCTTTCGACAGCATGGTTGGAACGGCGGTGGTAAAGTAGAGGCAAAGTATACATCCAGAGCTGCAGAGTTGTATAAGCAATTGCTTTCAAAAGAAGTTGCTAAAAGTATGTCTGAGGAGGCTGCCTTGTCTCCATCCCCTGCAGCCTCTTCTCAGTCTGCCCAAGAGGATAATGGACTTCCTGATGTCAAGACAAGTGAAGTCCCAATGGAAAAGACTTTGGAGAAGCCAGAAAAGACTGAGAGCACTTCTTCACCTAGAGCTTCATATTCTGTAGTTTCAAATAATTTGAAGAAGCCTATTGGAGCAAAAAAAACTGGTAAGAGTGGGGGGCTTGGAGCCCGTAAGCTCACTAGAAAGGTACGCAAATAGTTATTTTTGATTGCTGATCGTTTACAGAAAATTCCTGTTGGGTTACCATCATTTTGTTCTCTATTTAATTTGGTGATACTAATTTTTAACTAGTTAGTATCATAATCAAATGCAGCCAAGTGAGTCTCTCTATGAGCAGAAGCCCGAAGAAGCACCTACGCCAGTTTCATCATCGACAAACAACAACTTGCCTTCTGGGCCACCTCCAACATCTCGGTTTGAGTATACAGAAGATGTCCAAACATCTGAGTTAAATTCTGGAGGTCACGTGTCTGCACCAAAGTCATCTAACTTCTTTTCAGACTTTGGAATGGGTAGTGGATTTCCAAAGAAGTCTGGGCCAAGCTCCTCAAAAGTGCAAGTAAGCCTTATGCTTGTAACTCTTGCCCCTGCATAAATTAACTTCTACTGCATGTAGTAAGCTTACATACTTTATACACGATTCAGTTCAAATTTTGATTTATTAATCAAGTTTAATGTTTTTAACAAGATACAATCCTTGGAGCAAAAAAAAACACAATGCAATTTTGGGAGAAGCTGCCAGCATATAAGTATTTATGAAAAAGATGAAATGCTTCCTTACATGTGTAGGATTACATATTTTCTAAACTTTTGCTCTTACAAAATTATAATGCAACACAAAATGGTGTGGGTTGGGCCTAACTCAACCCTACAAAACCGGCTTGTAGGGTGAGGATTGCCCCCATTTATAAGGACATGTCCAGGCTATATATTGTCCGATGTGGGACTCTTAACACCCCCTCTCATGTCCAGGATTGAACGTCTAGAGAGTGGAACTAAATGGTGGGCAACCTGATAGCGGAGTGGCCCAACGGATCTTAAATCGGGCTCTGATACCATCTCAGGATTTGGGTTGGGCCTAACTCATCCCTACAAAATCGGCTTGAAACCGGTTTGTAGGGTGAGGATTGCCCCCACTTATAAACACAACACAAACCATATCTCTATGCAATATGGGACTAAATCCACCCTTTCAAAGCTAGCACAATGAAGGTGTTAGGGGCTGCAATGAAGGCAAACCAAAGTGTCGCAATTAAGGCGACTAAGGGCGGACCGCAATTAAGGCGGAAAGTCTAACACAAAATATCCTATATATATTTTACTAGTGAATTCAGTGTAATTTGGAAAACTATGTATTTATAAGTGCAGTGGTTGTGTAATACTATTATATCATTATTATAGTCTTGGATGGTTTTGCAATCGGGCCTTCAATATTCTTGAAAGCTACAATAGATGTTGCCACTCATCTGAGTGTTTTTCTTAACAAATTCATTCAACCGCACAATAATTTTCTCGACCTCAAAGTCACGCCCCTTATTTTCTTTTGTTTGTGTTTGTATAAGATCCAGGAAACTGATGAAGCAAGAAAGAAGTTCTCAAATGCTAAGTCAATTTCTTCATCCCAATTTTTTGGAGACCACAGCAAGGCTGATGTGGATGCTCAAGCTACTTTATCAAAGTTTTCAGTATGTGTCTTTTCTTTTAGTAACTCACTGGATTGAAGAGTTATTATGTATGTACATGTAGTATGTGTCCTTTCTTTTCAATATGTTTACATTTGTGATTCATGCATATTAGTATTAAAATTAGGCTTTTTTGCATTATCAATGACTTCTATTTACATCACAAAATTTTGCTTGGACTAATTAGGCAGCATGCTCTATACATTTATACAAAAAAATTGAAGGGCTAGTGATTTGTTTTGTTTGGAAGTGAATATTCCATATTGAAGATTAAATATGATTTTGTACTCTCAAACCATTGTTTAAATAAAGATAAGTGATTCAGGACTTGTTTTATAGGTCAGTTTTTTTTTCCTTCTGTCCGACTGTAGGGACCACAGTTTTACTAGTAAACACCATTGTGGGAATGACAAACCAATGATCGTGGCAAACCATTTTTATCATACATAATTGAAGGCCTGAAACTATTTCTGAACACAATATCTGTGAAAAATTTCTCTTTAGTCTTAATGGTACAATATAAGTATAAATATTTATGAGTGGAAACTCATTCGCCGATGCTTTTTAGTATTAGTTTCATAAATTAGCAAAACTAATTTGCTCTTTTATCAAAATGGGCTGTAATGTATCAATTTATGGAATTTAACCCAATGCAGAGCTTAAACTTCCTTTTCCTTCATAACATATCTCTTTGTTTTTGTTGAGGTTAATCGTTATAGGCTTGTGTTGGTTGAGTGGGATGAATGAAAGAAAGGACAAGCTCCAAATTTCATCAAGTGATATTTGGCATGTATTTGTTGTAAAGCAAATTAAGTGATGGAATTTCAGTTGTACACGCATATACATTTGAGGGATTGGTAAAAAATTTCAGTTAGTGTTGGGGGATTGTGAAGAACTCTGTTCCATTAATTTTCTCTTTTCTTTCTTGGATATTTTTTGTCTCTTTGTTATGGAGAGTTTCTTATGTTGAGGGATTGGGAAAAGAGCTCAATTCCACAAATTTTTTCTTTTCTTTCTTAGATATTTTTGTCTCTTTGTTATGGAGAGTTCCTTGTTCTCCCGGATCTTTGCAGCCAGAAATTGTAAGAAGGGAAAGAGGGACCAGGGTGTTAAATATTTGATACTTAGGAGCAATATTAATCCTTTTGTTATTTCCAGGGTTCATCTGCTATATCCAGTGCTGATCTTTTTGGTGACTCAAGAGATAACAATGTCGATCTTGCTGCTAGTGACCTTATAAATCGAATATCTTTCCAGGTATTCCTTACATTAAACTGGATTCAAACTTTTAATCGTTCATGTTCCTTGTTATTCGAACAAAGAAATTATTATTTGATTCTTGTGTTGATGTTTGGTTGCATGCTGATCTTTTCACTCCCTTATATTTACAGGCACAACAGGATATTTCTTCCCTTAAGAACATTGCCGGAGAAACTGGGAAAAAGCTCACCTCCTTGGCATCCTCGTTGATGACAGATCTTCAAGACCGAATCCTCTAAACTTGTATGTTCTGTATTTTAAGAGAACCTCTGGTGTTTGCTACTGATACCAGCCGTTTGTGTTTCAAATGTAAAAGAAGAGCTCAATAGATAAGACAATTTTTTAATGAACAAAAATAAGATACTTTTATATTCTGGTTTGTCATTTAGGCTGGTGTTTTTGGTTTTGTATCACAGGTACTGTTTTAAGGTTGCTAGTATGTTCTAGATGGTTTACAATTTGTATTTTTCTACTGGTCAATGCTAGTTTGTCGCAAGTTCAAGAACGTTACTGCTATCTTGTATCAACTAGTAGTAACAAACCCGGGTATTCGCACGGGTTCTGGTGCGTAATTGTTTCAAATGATTTTTTTTATAGAAATAAAAAATGTATCTAAAGTTAAAATTTAGGTTCTTTATGAATTAAAATTACACTGTGTCTAGTTAAAATTGAAAAATTAAAAATAAAGATGTAAAAGAAAGAATATACGACCTTAAAATGAAATTCTAAAAATTTATGTCACATGAAAAAAAGAATAAATTAGAATTTATAGTTGTAAAAAAGGATGAATTTAGAAAAAGATTAAAACATTGGTGAAGTTAAAAGTAGAAGAATTTGATTAATACAAACGGTTATAAATGAAAGACGGATAACAAAAATTAACTAATAAATTTATAGAATGTAAATTAAGTAATAATCCGTGCGTTTGTATAGATTTTGATTTGGATATCCGTGTATTTGCATAAGTATTAGTATGTTATTCGTGCGTTTACATGAATTTTGATCTGAATACTTGTTCATTTGTATGAGTACTAGTGTGTTATTTGTGCGTTTGCACAAATATTATGATATTAGACACATTTATTTCTTTAATATAATAAGACAAATAAATAAATTTATTAGTAATATAATATATAGAAAAAAAATTTAAAAAAGTGTGAAGTAGTTGTAAAATACAAGAATAAAATAATTTAATAATGAATTAATATGCAATGATATGTGAAGTGAAAAAGTTATGTTAGAAAACTAATAATTTATTTACCAGTAATATAAGTAAAAAAAATTACATAAATTAAAATAGTATAGAAATAAACAAATGTAAAAATTGGTTACAAAAATAAAATTTTAAAAACAAATCATAAATTGTATTCTCGTATATTATTTTTGGATTATAAATACTATTTTTAGTATATAAAAATATTTAGATTAATAATATATTTTTCCTGTAGACAAATATTATTTTTGTTTAAAAATTATTTATAAAAATATCTAGATTAATAACAAATTTTTCGTATATAAAACTGATCTCGATTGGGCCTGCATTTGTCCTTCGAACGGAAAGTCCAAAGACAACTCAAGTTAAGAATCGTTGGGCAACTCCCCATCTGACCGTTGGAGGACATGACCCACGATCCCATGACAGACATCTTAAACTGCCCTTCGAAAATCACGGGTCCAACCCTATTCTCGCGGAGCAGTTGATCAGGGGAAGCCCACTTGCTGGACTCCATACACACGTAAGTCCTGACAGTTCCTGTTATTGGGCCTCCACGTGGTCCAAAAGTGGGAACCTTGGCCCAACGATGGGGGCTATATATACCCTCTCTCTCTCAAGAGGGTCAGGTATTCAAATTCATCTCTAAACTCATACTTGCTTGCTCATTCCGCTTCTTACTTTGCCATCAGAGTGTCTTGCAGGTACCCTCCCAGAACTACCATCACGTCCAGTTCCACGAGGTCCCCGTCCCCGCTGGGGCAGACGCCACGACCAAGACACTGTTTGCGGCAATCAATCAAACCAACTACTTAATCTTCGTCCAGGGGGAAAGACTGAGGGCGCTCGAGGACGATCGGAGGCCCCCAAGAAGACACTGGAGACTCAATCTTCTCCTCCTCGACAAGCAGAGGAACATCCCCAATCTCCCTCGCAGAGACATAATCAGGACATCTCTCGAAGCCCGTCACCCCGACCACTCGGGCGACGACCCCCTTTGGAGAGGGAACAACTCGTCGATGCGGGAAGGCGCGATCACGACCCTCGCGTTAAGAACGAAGACCCCTTGGAGACAGGAACGAGGGAAACCACCAACGGTCATATCGCCCAAGGATCGCTCCGCGCGAACAGGGCCACCGTGACCGCCACGACATCAGATCTCCGTCTTGCTCGCCCGAACGGAGTAACGAGGACGACCCCCGCGGTCCCTTGTCACAAGCTATCATGGAGGCTCCCATTCCTCCGGGCATGGAGAAGCCTCCCCACCTGAAGGAATATGACGGCATCGCCGACCCGATCGACCATATAGACGGGTTTAAGGTCATGCTGCACTATCACAACGTCGGGGGACCGATCAAATGTCGGTTGTTCCCCACGACTCTGAGGAAAGCTGCGATGGACTGGTACAAAGGTCTCGCCCCGGGGTCAATCACCTCTTGGCAAAATTTGAAAAACCAATTCATCAGTCCGTTCACTGCTTTGCGGCGACACCCGAAGATCGAAGTAGCCCTCGAGGCCATCGTCCAGAGACACGATGAGACCCTGAGGGAATTCATTGACCGGTTCAACCGGGAGGCCATCCAGGTCCCCTGCATGGACCACGTGAAAAGATACCTGCTCGAGAGGGGGCTCTTCCCGGGCACTGAATTCAAAAAAGCCGTAGGCATCGAACCACCCCGGACGTTTGATGCCCTCCTCGAGAAGGCCAAAGCCTATATGGACTACGAGGAGAGAGAAGCGGCCAACAGAGCCCGAGATCCCAGGAACCGCGGATCTAGCAGTAATCCGCGACAAGACACCGCCCCTCCTCGACGAACTGGCGAGAAGAGAAGGGACGAAAAACCCCGAGACGCCCGAGAACAAAGGGGGCCCTCGGGGAGGTTCACTGAATACACTCCGCTAACGGCTTCCTGCAAGCGCATCTTAGTGGAGTGTGCAAATACAGACTTCAAGGACGGCGGTGTCAAGCGTCCTTGCCCCGCTCCTGCTAAACTCGGGGTAGACCGAAGCAAGTACTGCCAGTACCATTGAAGCCACATACACTTGACCGAAGATTGCGTCCATCTCAAGGACGCCATCGAGACCCTCATAAAGGGAGGAAGACTCGTGCAATATCGTCGAGGAGACGCCCCTCGTCGAGATGCCCGTGAAATGAGGGAAGCAAAAGAGGATGCCCGACCATCTGACGAGTCGGTTCCCATCCAAACCGCATTCTTCGTCACAAGGCCTGAGGACTTCTACGCCCCGAACAGTTGCAAGAGCCTCTGTCCACCCACAACAGGTGGGAAAACTTCCCCTCCTCCATGGTCATCAATGATGGAGGGTTTAATGATTTGACCATAAATTCAGGGAAGAGAAAGCTGGATGAACTGGTCGACGCGGCTCCCCCGCAAACGATGACCTTAGAAAGGGTGAAAGGCAGATCAGATCCAATCACCTTTTACCTCGAGGAGCTCCCCGGAGGGGGCCCCAATTCGGCCATCCCTCTGTTGATAAGGGCGAGAATGGCCAACTTTGACGTCCATCGCGCCCTGGTCGATGAGGGAAGTTCCATCGACGTGATGTACAACCAACTGTTCAGAACTCTGCAGCTCGATGACTCTCACCTCTCACCATAAGTGGGGTCAGACTTGCAGGGATTTAATGGCTCGAACTCTAAGCCATGGGGGTACGTGGAGCGTATGGTCACCTTCGGCGAGGATACCTCTACCAGGCAGGTCAAGGTCCGCTTCCTCGTCATCGACTGCCCATCCCTCTACAATTGCATCCTCGGGAGGCCAACGCTAGCAGAACTGACCGCGGTGCCCTCCACCGTCCACTTAAAGATGAAGTTCTACACCAAGAGGGCACGGGTCGCCACTATTCAAGGAGATCTGGCACCCGCCCGAAGGTGCTTCAACACAGCGTTCAAGGGATACAACACAGTCGACACCAACACACAACCCTCCAAGAAAGTTGCAGTTGCGCGATCAGAGCCTTAGCGGCCAGAGCCCGTTAGAGTAGAAGAGCAGAGGGCCCCTCCAAAGGTCGACTCGATCTCGCTGGACACTCGCTTCGACCAGGACGATCCCTCCAGCGGCGAGCAGGTTCCCCTCCGACCAATTCCGGATGGGGACTTCGAGCTTATCCCTCTCAGTGAAGACTCAAACAGAGGAGTGAAGATTGACACTGGACTCCCCGACTTGGCAAGAAAGCAAATCAAGGCCTGCTTGAGGGAAAACACTGATCTGTTCGCATGGAGTGCTGCGGAGATGCTCGGTCTCGACCCTGAGGTCGCCTGTCATCAACTCGCCATTGATCCAGCTGCTAGGGCAGTAGTACAACGTAGGCGTAGGCAGTCTCTCGAGAAAGCGGATGCTGCTGAAAAAGTTGTAAAAGACCTCCTAGAGGCAAATTTTATTTATGAAGCCCGGTATTTAACCTGGCTGTCAAATGTTGTACTTGTTAAGAAAAATAATGGAAAATGGCGAATGTGCGTTGACTATACCGATCTTAACCGGGCATGCCCCAAAGATGCATTTCCTTTACCTAATATTGATATGTTGGTCGATAACTCGGCCGACTATAAAATGTTATCGTTTATGGAGGCCTATTTGGGCTACAACCAAATCCCAATGGCGATAGGCGACAAACACTACACCGCTTTCATGACCAGTTCAGGAAACTATTACTACAATGTAATGCCATTCGGTCTGAAAAACACAGGAGCAATGTATCAGCAGATGATGGACAAAGTCTTCTGCAACCAAATCGGAGATATACTCGAGGTATACACGGACGACATGATCGTCAAGTCCCGAGTAGATACCGACCATGCCTCCCATCTCAGGGAAGTATTTGCTCAAGCAAGACAATGTAGAATGAGGTTTAACCCCGAGAAGTGCATGTTCGGGGTCAAGGCGGGCAAGTTCCTCGACTTCTACTTAACGAAACAAGGAATCGAAGCCAACCCCGACAAGTTCCTAGCTTTCTCTGACCTCCCTACACCCACGTTGAAAAAATGCATACAAGTCTTGAATGGCATGCTCGCCTCACTCTCCCGGTTCGTTGGAAAATCCGCTCAACACGCCCTACCCTTCTTCAAACTCCTTCGTAAGGAGGAGGCTTTCGAGTGGACCGAAGAGTGCGAACAGGCCCTTCTCCATATCAAACAAAGCCTCTCGCAGCCTCCCGTGCTATCACGACCAGTTGACGGGGAGACCTTATTTCTATATCTGGCCGTTTCTGTCAAAGCCGTCAATGCGACCCTCATTCGCGAGACCCACGACGAACAAAAACCCGTTTACTTCACGAGCAAAGCGCTCCAGGGGCACGGGGTTAGATATCAACAGATCAAGAAGGTGTCTTTGGCCCTTGTCAATGCAGCGAGAAGGCTCATACACTATTTCCTCGCGCACACGATCGTCGTACGAACGGACCAGCCCGTGAAATAGCTCTTGGGTCGGCCAGACATGGCGGGCCGAATGCTGAAATGGTCATTGGAACTCTCAGAATTTGATGTCTAGTATGAAAGTAGGAAATACCTGAAGGCCCAGGCTCTGGCCGATTTCTTTGCAGAGATGACCGCTCATAACCCCCCCGCTGGGAAGGAGCACAAATGGACCATCTTCGTCGATGGAGCGTCCAGCTCGACTGAAAGCGGAGTGGGAATCCTCCTCGAGAACGAGGAAGGAGTAGTGATCGAACATTCGCTCACCCTCTCATTCCCAACCTCGAATAATCAGGCAGAATACGAGGCGTTGCTCGCGAGCCTAAGACTTGCCGAGGATTTAGGCGCCCGAGAAATACAAATTTTCACTGACTCCCAACTTGTCGCGTCTCAAGTTCAAGGGGATATTAGGCTAAAAACAACAACCTCATCGAATACTTAAACTTGGTCAGAGAACATATGAAAAAGTTCGATCGGGCAGAGGTTTCGCACGTACCGCGCAAACAAAACACATGGGTTGACATACTCCCGAAGCTCGCAAGCACGAAGAAAAAAGGAAGAAATAAATCCGTCATACAAGAATATCTATCTCGACCGAGCATCGAAAAATCCACAACTTTACCCAAAGTAAATTCCATCGGGGACAGCTCATGCTGGATGACCCTGATATTCAATTTCCTAACGAAGGGAGAACTTCCCCTAGACCGAAGGGAGGCGTCCGCGACAAAGTGACGAGCATTCTCCTACGCGGTGCTCGAGCACAAACTGTATCGTCAGATATTTTCTATCCCACTCTTGAAGTGCGTCGAAGAGTCTGTGGTCCCCGAGATACTACGAGAAAACCACGAAGGGATTAATGCCCAACACATGGGTGGGAAGTCCCTAGCACAAAAGGCATTACGAGCGGGGTACTACTGGCCGACAATACAATAAGTCGCCAAAAAGCACGTCAAGAAATGTGACAAGTGCCAAAGGCACGCTGATATGCATCTCACCCCGCCGCACGAGCTGAACACATTATCGTCCCGATGGCCTTTTACCTGGTGGGGAATGGACATCCTGGACCATTCGTACAAGGGACATATCAAAAAAAATTCCTCGTCGTGGCCATAGATTATTTTACAAAGTGGATAGAGGCCGAATCCCTCACAAAATCACCTCGCAGAACATTCTGCGTATTTACAAACGAAACGTGCTCGCTCAGTTTGGAATCCCGCAGGCGCTCGTCACAGACAACGGTACCCAATTCACCGACCAAGGCTTTCAAAGCTTCGTTTCCAAACTCGGAACTGTTGTAACCCAAAATTTGCCCTCTCATTTTATCAACATTTCTCATCACAAGACTCTTGGAACTCAAGATCAAGCTAGGGTTTGCTCTGCTCAAGACACCTCCTTGCACTGTTGACCTAAATTAGGTTTTGAGTTTGCACATGGATTTTTGGACCTTCAATGCCCAAATTGACTTTCATACTTCATGTTGGACTCATAAGTTTGTCCATACCAAGTTTCAAGCTTTGAATCAAATTTTTGCCCAGTCAATTGGACAGTTGACCTAGAAATCAGCTGTATTGGGGAAAAGGTCAACTGTGGCCAATTTACAGTCAAACCTCATGAATTTTGACCCACATCAACATTATGAACTCATATGAACCATTTGATCAAGTTTGTACTAAAAATCCACAAGAAATTTGATCAGATCACCAAAAGGGTAAAATGGTCATTTTTAGGGTTTTGATTATACAAAGGCAACTTTTGACTGCTTGACCTAGCCAATGGAAAATCAAGTTCAACCATGGACTCAAGGACTCAATGGCATCATCTTGACCTATTCAACAATTTCA